CCAAAACTTGTGGTCTTTCTACCATAACATTTTATTTCAACTATTAAATGCATTCACTTGTTTTTCGCTGCAATTTACTTCCTGCTTTAAATATAGACAATCAGCTAAAAAACAAATGATCTATTTAGGAAAAATGTATCATTACTTATAGAAAACCAATTATTAAATACAACTTTAAAAATCCTTTAATTTAACACAGAATGATTAGTTATTTTGATATTTTCAAACCTTGAATTTCAAGGATCATAATGCCTCGGGAATAATGTTCTTCTGAAGGCTACCTTAAGCCAAAATGGATCTCCATTCTAAGCAACTTGCCGTTTCCTTCCCCTTTAAATAAATGTTTATGAAAATGATACAAAATTCTGCAATCATTTTAGTTGTCATGATCAAAGGCATTTAAAAGCATCATTGATTTTTTTTCCTATAGTGTTTCTCTAGGTGTCTATTCATATACAATACTTACAAATCCTGCAGTAGTTTTAGATACAATTCAATTACAGAATAACAGATGGACAAAAGGTAACCATAAAAACAATTTGTACTTTGTGAAAAGAAAGATCAGTGAACCAATACCAGCAGCAATAAGCAAAGAGGCTGACGGTGGCAGACAGTTTCAAAAATAACAAGAAAAAATAAACAGCATTCTGACTCAATAAGAAATTAATAACCTACTTTTAAGTTAACTTTTGCTAGGTTTTAGTCCCGTTTATTTTGTTTTATAGAAAAACCATAAGAATTATGGCTACAAACATAATTGCCAGTCCAATTCTAAAATGAATAGTAAAGTTATTTTTTACTTACATTCAGCAAGATAAGATTTTTAAATTACTTGCTAGTCTCCAAAAAACTATAACATGTAAAGATTCTATTAACACAAGTGATTCTAGAAGTGGTTTTCCTCTCAAGTTTCAGATGAGTACAATAACTTTGATTTAGAATCATGCTCACTTTTTAAGCTTAAAGGAAAATTAGCTTAAAAATACATGATATATATCTAAATTTAGATGATACATAAGTGAAAATAACTACTCTGTGTGTAAAATACATATTAATAAATATAACGATTTCCTGAAATAGTAAACAAACAAAAAAAAAAAAAAGTGAAGGAACTCATAAAATTAAAAGGTTTGTGTAAAGCTTCTTCAAGCTATGTGATTCTTGGCATTTCTTACATTTTAACTGGCAAAGAATATTTAAAATACAGCAGACTTGATATTTAATTCTGAAAGGTAGGAACAATAACCTTTTTTAACCTTTCTTAGGGAACACTGACCCCTAAAGGTTCTAAATTTAAATAAGTTTCACAATTTTCTAAATTTATCAGGTACCTGAACCTCATTTTACCTATATTATTGTAAGTATGTACACTTATCGCAGACATGTTTATCCATAAATAATATGTGAACTATTTCCACTGGATTGTTGTGTACTAGAAAACAATCAGACCATGTTTCTACTAATAAAAACTACCAAAATTTAATGTAAGACATACTAGGAACTGATATACTACGTAAAATAATAACTCATAAGAGATTTCTGGCATCTGTGACTTATTTCTTACATAGTTAAGGAAATAATAAGCAAATGTTAAAAAAAGGCTAAAAAATCACTTCACAACGCATTTTTCCCAAGGGTTGATTGTATAAACTCTTTTGATTATGACGTTCTACTTTTTCCCCTAAAAAGCAGATTAAAAAAAAGAAAACATGAAAAATAGGAAGTTTTCACAAAAAGGCAAAGTATAATTTACTTCTTAAAAGGCCAAAAGTTGTTACTGATTCTCATTTGGCAACACACATTTATTCACTCACATATTGCTTCCACTGACTTAAAAATTACATTCATTCAGGTTATTTAAATACTTAAAGAAACCTGTAGAAACTTTGTAGATGTTTTCTTCACTCATCCTACCTATCAACCTCAACTTTACATTGTCCAAATCATCTATAACGACAAAAACAAAGAAAAATGTAAATGTTTATATCTGTTATAGTATATACCACACCAGCTCTTTAGCTTAAAATAATTCAGCAATGTTTCTACAAAAAAGCTAGGAAAACTTGTACGACAACTCAAAGGCATTATCTCTGTAATACAAGTTTTTAATTAGCCCAATTTCTTTTAAAAAAATTAGTAAAATAATATTAAATAAAATGTTTACCAGAGCAGTCTATGAACATTAGTGTAAGATAGAGCTTTAAAGCAATTTATGCTTTAAGATAAATCCCATGAACGTAATATCAAGGGGATGACCATGTGAGAGTTTACTGTTTCAACACTATCAGCTATCACAAAACTCAAAAGATATTACATTTACCCGTTTTAGTCCTTAATAAAGTTTATTTCACAGGCCCTTGAATAAAGGAATGTCTTATTCCTACTTCCCATATTAAAAAATGCCTGTAAAAATGCAAATTTTCTTAATGGTATCTTCCGTCACCTCTGTTGTGGTCTGTGCCTCTTGCAAACTATCTACACATCTCTAGCTTCAATCCTAAAACCTTCCTTTCCACAAGTGTTCTATAGCTTCAGGGTCTCCCATCCTTGACGTCTTTCCTGGTTATTCTATATTTATGAGAAGTACTTCCCCCACAGCCTCTAGCACTTATTAAAATAGTTCTTTGGCTCCTTAAAGATCCTTTTGTTTCTAATTTGGACAACATGACTTTCACAGCAATGTGATCTGTGAACAGGGAGCATAAGCAACAGGGGCATCATTACTTGGTTCCTCTTTATTTCAGTACATAAACTGAATAAAAATGCTTTGAGCTCTTCAAGGAAGAAGAATGTTTGCTAGTTAACTTGAATAAATGAATAAAAATTGATACCACAAACCAGCTCCCAGCTTCACACCATACATCCTTATCACAAACTTGAATACAAAGAGAATAAACCACAACTGTCTCAAAGTCTATACATGAAAACTATTAACTTTGAATTTAAAAACTTCACCTTACTCAGATATTATTTACTTATTGGTTTATGCAAAATTCAGTCAGTTACCAAGATTCTAAAGTCATAGGAGGTAGTTCAGGGTCACATATAAAAAGAGAAAGGTTGCTAACGGTACGTACAAACTGAAAGAAAATTTAAAAACCAAAACCAAATGCAGAAATCAGAAAAAGGTACTCAGAAAGCATACCATCTCTCTGTACCTCAAAAGAATGTGCAGTTATTAGCTTATTTAGTGCAATGATTATACGAACAGTCTCTCAAAATGTTCTTCTTTTAGAAAAGGCAAGAACGTGGTTGATACATGCTGAACAAGGGGTCTCATTGAGAGGAAGAACCAAAAAAGGAAGGGATGCCTGGAATATGTTTTAGTAAAAATCCTGTTTTTTAAATTATAAGATTTAAAAGAAATAAATAAGATTTGAGCCCACAACTATATGTGGTATTATATTCAGAATAATTAATTTCCCAAGGTTCTAGACTTACAACATTTTACTATAACAATCTTCAAAACAAAACCCAACATTTTTTTTAAATCTCTCTCTTTATCTTGGGGCCCTGGTGGCACAGTGGTTAAGAGCTATGGCTGCTAACCAAAAGGTCAGCAGTTCGAATCTACCAGCAGCTCCTTGGAAACTCTATGGGTCAGTTCTACTCTGTCCTATAGGGTTGCTATGAATCAACTCCACGGCAACAGGTTTGGTTTTTTTATTTATTTATTTATTTTGGTTTTGTCTTCATCTCTCTCCCTCTACTGGTTCTCCACTCTCCCTTTATGTCTTTTTTTTTCTCTCTTGCATACTCGAGGTCACTCTATCTATCTAGCTAGCTAGCTATGTCTTTATCTCTTTTTCAGAATGTCTCTCAGTCTGTCTCGGTCTTTCTTTCAAACTGTTTCTGTCTTCTGATTTTTTTCTGCCTCTCAGGTTATGTCACTCTGCCTGTGCATATTTGTGTATTCTTTTTCTCTCTGTGGCTCTTTTCATGTCTTGGTCTCTGTCTGCATGTCCCTCTCTCTGAGTGTCTCTCTCTGCCTCCATCTGTACATCTCTGCATACTTTCTGTCTCTCTGACTCTGTCTCTGTATGTATGTCTCTGGCTGTGTTTCTCTCATTTTACAAGTATCTCTGTGTGCATCTCTCGGTGTGCATGTGTCTCTGTATGAGTCTCTGTACATATACCTCTTTGTGTGTCTCTCTGTATCAGTATGTGTCTCTGTTCTGTGTGTGTCTTCATCTATGTCTCCTTTCTCTCTCTGTCTCCATGCATGTCTGTGTCTCTCTCATTCTCTGTATCTTTCCCTCTTCAATCTATGTGTCTATCTGCATCTCTCTGTACATCCCTTTCTCTGATGACCTTCTCTTTCTGCCTTTCTCATTCTGGTTCTCTCTCTTTCTGTGCATCTTTGTATATCTTCTGTGTCTCTTTCATTGTGGTGTCTCTTATCTCTCCGTCTCTCTGTATGTCTCTCTGTGTGCTTGTGTGTATTCCTGTGCTTCTATCTCTCTCAGTGTGTCTCACCTGTCTCTGTGTCTCTTACTCATTCCATGTCTCTCTTTCTCATTGTCTCTCTTACTCTGGTGTCCCTCTCTGTCTCTGTGTCTCTGATACATGTGTGTTTTACTCTGTGTGTGTGCCTCCGCATGTGTGTCCGTGTCTGTGTGTTGTCCTCCTTTAGTATCTCCTTTCCTGTCTTTTTCTCTATGCCTCTCTCTCTGTGTTTCTCTCCGAGTATACCTCTGTGTGTGTGTCCCTCTCGCTGTCACTCAGTCTCCTCTCTGTCTCTTTGTGTATATTTGTGCATTTCTTTCTTTCTCCCTGGGCATCTTTTTTCCTCTTTCTCAATCAATGTCTCTTTCTCTCTGCTTGTGTGTCTTTTTCAGATGCAGGCCTCTTTGTGTGTGTCTCTTTCACTGTGTGTACATGTCTGCATGTATGCTTGTCTGCCTCTGTCTAATATACTGGTTAGAACAAACACATTTCTTTCAATGCCTTGAACTAGCATAACACCTCAGGTTTGGTATTAATACGTTAAAAGTCCTTACCTTTTGCCCAGTCCTCCATTTGTACTTCTGTTCTTATTTGTTCTGGCAATGTCTCTGGTTTTTGCTCCAAGATCTGAAGCTAAAATAAAGCCAACTCTAGATAAATAAACTTAAAACAATATATCAGAATACACCTAAACCTTAACCTTTATTTAACAGAGAATTTACAAGACAAATGGTTTTCTAAAACATTTATAATGGGACAATTAATTGCATGTTTCAATAGGAGAAATTAAATCTTTTTCTCAGAAAGATCTTTTCTTCCCACTTACATTTTAAAAAGTATAGTTAAGGTTCAACTTCTAGACATCCTTATTCTTTGGGTTAAAGAAACATTTAATTGATCTAATTTAAGTCTTCTCCAAGTATAACTTCAAGCACTTAAGAAAAATAAAATTTTCATTATATTTGCTATTAATTTTATACCGAAAATTTCAAATTTATTGGACTGATTTGAATTTACTATGTATAATTTCATACAAAACATTTTACACTTGTAAAAGTAATTTAATAATGTTATCCTAATTAAAAAAATAAAAACCATCATTGATTTGTGGAATTGTTGGTATTTCTCTCTTGCATTTGTTTTCCTATTACACATAATAAAAAAAAAAATGCATACTTTTGCATGCTGTTTTAGAATAAAATTAGATTCACCTCACAGCTAGAACCTTGCATTCTTTAAAAAGTCCTCAAATAAAGCTGTAGTAAGCTTCTCCTTTTCCAGTTCTCTCTAAATATGTTGATTTGGAGTTGGCAATCTTTTTCTAAGTTCCTCATTTACCTTTGGATTAGCTGAAAATATAGGAAGTTATTAATATCAAAGAAATATGTTCCAGTCAATGAAGCCATTTACCTACATATTGCCCAAAAAGGTTAATAATAATTGCAGTCTTTTAATAAGAGATTCATATAGCAAGACATGTAGAAAATATAGTCTTTAATAACCTCTGGAGTATTTTAAAACATGTCTTACAGGCCTAATGTGCCTAGTAATATACTATTTAAAACCGTAATTTTATCCCTCTGCAATATACAGTCATTCTTTCTCATCATTTACCCAGCTAATGAATGCCAGCAATTAGTAAAATGTAATCCCATTGCACAATCATTTTAATGCTTTTAGCACTCAGAAAAGTAAACACGAAATTAATACTGCTCAAGCCATATCAGATCCTAGTTGGAAGCAAGCAATTATAGTTCAGCTCCTCAGGTGTAATTAAATGATTGGAATGATTTAGTTCCATAAATGCAAGTTAATTCATAAGCAAGCAACAAATATACTGGGAGTAATTACAAGAAACATTGACTGTCTAAGCAGGGCAAATTCTTTTAGAAGCCTGACACAGTAAAATGCTGCCCTCTCCTGGACATATAAGTGAATACCTCAGAGTCAAAAAAAACCAAAAAACAAAACACGTACTTCTAAAAACTCACTAGAAAGAAAAATAATAACCAATATATCAGATTTCATTCCGTATACCAAATATTTAAATGTATGGCTTATGTTATGATAATTTCTGGAACCAGGATAACTAATGCTTCTGGATATAAATCCCCAAATGTACCAGACAATTCCTTTACCTTCTAATGTATCATTCACATATAACACTGGCAGACAAACGACTATAAGTGAAATTCCTAGTATCCATCTGGGCTGCCAGGCCAATGTCTATGCTCTCTCATTACTAAAGTCTAAGTGGATTGTTACAGATTACTAAACTAGGCTTTTGTAAGTAATAAAATTCTCACAGAGAAATAATCTCTGAAAAAACAAACAGAATACTCAGTATTGTCATGGTTTTGCATAATGGTCTAAAATTGTTTTTAATGAGCTTCAATAATAAAAACAAAAACTTTGAACACTGTGGTATAACCATTTTTATAAACATATTTTTAAATGCGGAGAGTAATGGGCACTATACAAAATAAAATGCACCCTGTTTTTACTTAAGCCAGTCCCATATTTTTACTTTCTTTAAACTAAAAGTCAGTATGAATTTACTTATACACTACTCAGGTGGTTCTTAACTAAACTTTTCACACTAAACTTTTAGATGTTTATTTATTATACTTTTAAGTTAGGCTATAAGTAAAATCAACAAGTCTGTGTTAAAAATAAATGTATTTCTAGCACTAAATCCAATCAGTATCATCCCTTTGTCTTTCTGCAGAATTGAACATATTCACTAATAAAATACTGCCAACCACACAACAAATGTTTACTTTTCCTATGCACGCAAACAGTACTTCCGAGGATAATATTTAACACTAACAATTTTTTGGGAGGGAAGAAAATTAAATTAATGCCTTTGTAATTTGCTTTTAAATGCATTAAAATAACCGTATTCTAATGCCATATCCTGTGCAAACTATAAAAATAAAATAAATCAAAGTATTAAAAAGTCCTGCCACTAAGTTTAAAATGTACAGCACATTTGCTTTGCCCTTTGATGTCACAGTCTTATTTTTCAATTCATATCTTGTACACTGTAAGTTAATTGCTTTTGGGAAGTACTTATTATTCATGTAAAAATTAATGTGCCAATGTGCTTAAATCCTCTTAAATGACCATTCATGCATCCTTCTTAAGTACCAATGAAATCTGTCAAAAGACATCAATGCAAAATGGTCTTAAAAAAACTTCTAATAGACTTTTTCTTCTGCTAACGCAAGATTTTCATATTCACCAACTTTACTTAAATTCCATTAATTTTTTAAGCTACTTTTAATAAATTCACCAAGTAAAATTTTTAGGCCCCATAGTCTGTCATTTGTGTTCCAGCTGACATTATGAATATTAATAACAGTGTTATCCTGATTAAATAGGCTTCATACGAAATCCCTGTGAATCCTATAGCTCAGACATCTCATTTTTCCAACTCTTTATGAATTTGGATTCAGACATTAAACTGGAAAAATCTTTAAAAACAGATTTAATGGAACATTTGCATATTCTTAAACAAAAATTAGATGTTCTAAAGATTTAAACAATTAACTTATATATCTACATATTGTAATAGGAATACAAGATTTCTGTAAACATGCAACATATTTTACACTTCTATCCTTTTTAGGACAAAGAATTGAGATTAATAAAATACAAATTCATGCCCTTATAATCACTTTAAAGAGCTGACATCAAGAACTTGTTTTCAACCTAAAATTATATATTCACATTAAAACTAGTGGAATGATTTCACGGTACACAATTAATCAGATAAATTAGGTTTCTTAATAAAAAGGCCACAAATTTAATTGCTTTATTATTACAATATATATCAGGCTATAGAAGCAAACTAAAATCAATTTCCAACTAAAGCTTATTTGTTTGCAATTGTGTTGGGAAAAATTAACCATGTTAAGAAAAAAAAGAAAGAAAAACTCTAATATAATGAACACAACATATCGTTTCAGAAAAATAACATTTCATATTAAATTATTTTTCATCATCAATTTCTAAAATCATCCCTCCAAGTTATATGTAATTTACAAAGGAAGTTAGTGCCATTAAATAGAAGAAAGAAAAATAAATAATAATTGTGTACCCCCTTCTCTGTCAAAATTTCCTCCATTCCTGAACGTCAAAAAATGTAGACTGAAAAAACTTCAACATCCCTATATTATCAAATGTTACCTGACTCTCCCTGTTTACTTAGCATTCAAACACTTTATTAAACAAAATTTGTTCTTTGACCAGTCTAAAATTTCTAATCTGCCTAATTATAAGTAATTCTGACATTTATTCTTTAAAAATAAATAATGCCTTTTTGATAGGGAAACATTAAAAAAAATCAGAATTCATTACTCGTTGTAACAGTATCCAGGATTTTAAAAAAGGTTTTGAGTAAGAGAAGACTTTCCCACCTTTCTCCACACATTCTGGCAAAGGTTTCTGGCTGACGGTTGATGGCATTTTTTTCCCCATAATTATTCCTTAGTTTAATCTCAAATTTGTATAAACTGCATTCAATAGTGTGAAACTAGGAATCATTTATAATACTGCATTGATACAACTCCAAAATTTGTATTTCTTAGATTGAGAAATGTTAGTGATTTCTGCATTGAAATGGCTTCATTAAATGGCCAAAGAAGAGCACTGTATTCCTGAGAGTCAAATAGTATATCATACAACACGACACATACAATATAAACATACGTCTTACTGCTAGATTTTCATCTTATTATATAAAAGTCTCTCAAACATTCACAGCCCCTGGAACAACCTCTCCCAAAAAGAATCCCTTTGACCCACTGTGCTTCAGACCACAGGCACTCCCTACTAAGCTCCAGACAGTCCAAGTTCCTCAGAACCAGGGAGCAAGAGGCCTGTGTGAATGTTAGGGAGAAAAGAAAAAGTGATAAAAGTGACCCTGAATCACAGCTATCAAAATTAAAGAAAGCATAAACTATTTGACTCCTCAGTTATACTATCAAAATTATTTTCAAAAATATGCAAAACATATTTTTATGTGCACAGATATTCAACGAAGCAGTATTTATAACTTCAAATACTCACTTATCCTCCAGTCATACTGGGCTTCTTTCCGTTCCTTGAACACACCAAGCTTATTTTTGCCTCAGACCTTTTATACCTGCTATTTCCTTTACCTAGAATTCTCTTCTCTAGAACTTTAAATAATTCTTCTCATCATTCACGCTTTGCTCAAAAGTTAAAAAAGGTTTTGAAGAAATTTTGCCTCGCCATTCCATCTAAAGTAGAAACTCATCTCGCATCACCTTACCTTATGCTGTTGCTTTCATGAAATTGATTTGTTTAGGTGTTATTTCATTGTTTTTGACCTATCTCAGATATATATATACAAAACTAAACCAGTTGCCATTGAGTCCATTCTGACTCATGGTAACTCCACGTGCATCAGAGTAGAACTGTGCTCCATAGAATTTTCAATGGCTGATTTTTCAGAAGTAGATTATCAGGTCTTTCTTCCAAGGTGACTCTGGGTGGACTGGAATCTCCAACCTTTCAGTTAGCGGCCAAGTATGTTAACCAGTTACACTACCCAAGGACTCCATATACATACATACACACGCACACAGACACACACACATATGCTTATATATAAATGCTGCATGCAAGCAGGGCTCTTTATTTTCTCCTTCATCTCTATATCCCTTGAAGAATGTCTGGCATACATGTATTCAGTATATGTTTTACAAAGGACAGACAAATGGATAGTCAGATGGATGGATGACTAACAGAAAACTAGAAATAATGTAAATGTCCATCAATAGAGAACTGCAAAAATAAATTGTGGTACAACCATACACAGAATCTATACGGTTTCTATCACAAATGCAAAGAGATCTGTATATATTATGGGTGGAAGATTATTTCAACAAACATTTATTAAGCACCTACATACTTATGTGAGACAACTGTTTTTGTAGTCAAGATAAAACGGTGAATAAGCAAACAAATTTCCTATGCAAAACGTATCTTTAGCTAAAACAATAATGTACATAACATGGATAAATTAAACAAAAATGATAAAATTATACTTACTTACATATACATGCATGCTTGCATATGCACAGTATTTTTTCCAGAAAAACACATAGGAAACAATTACCAGTGGTTACTCTGAGGAAAGAGCCTAAGTGTAAGGATGAGGGGTTGAGAGAATAAGGGAAAGAAAACATTTATATTTCATTTTGTATCTTCCCGTATAATTTGATTTTTTACCATATGCATGTATTACTTTTATTTTAATAAATGTTTATTAATAACCTTGGAATTTAATAGGAAACTGTGAAGGAAGTCACACGACACCTGCGAGATCCAAG